CCCTACTTACCCCCTTCGTCGTGCCTTTCGCCTACCCACGACTAGATTATCTTAAAATCTATTTTCATATCTAATTAGAAAGTTTTAAACTCCAAAAATGGTTAAAATCAAGGAGATCTATAAACATATGAAAATCTTGAAAATGGACGGTCTAGATAATGTGTTACAAGATGCACTATTTATGAGACTCATTATATATATATATTCATACATCTTGATGTCGAGATGATCAAATAGAGGCCGATAGATTTTTGAGGTGCATTTGTAATTCTACATTTTAAGGTTGTAACTTTATATAAATTTTCCTCTTTCTCTCTCTCTATATATATTTATATATATATATATATCGAGACGATTAATTGTGAGTTTAATTAGATATCTAGATCCTGCCCCTTAAGAACTAAAATTAGTGAGTTTAATTTTTTTTAAGATGTCATTCATCTAGTGGTGATGAGACGATCTACAAAATCTAGTATTAAACCTACGTTAAATAGACACGGACAAGTGTGTCCATTTGTTATACGGATGCCTATGTCAGAAACATGAACTGTGAAACATGTCATCCAAACACGACATATCTATACAATATATAGGTTTATGTTTGTATGAGAGTATGTATGTGTATTAAAAATTGGGTGTAAGTTTCCATCAACATTCGCAAATGAAATTGATTCTTTTTGCTCGTCATGCTTTTTTATGATGCCAAAGATGGTATGCACCACCGAACAATTATAACAAAATACTCAAGTACAACCGAGTATCAAGAAAATTGGGTTTAGGTTCCATGACCAAATGCTTTTTACTTGGACAATGCAAGTACTGCAAACAATCAAAAAGAAATATATTAATAAACTAAATTAAGATAGATTATAATACATACTATCAGTGACAAATTTAGATTCAAATAAGAACAATTGTTTTATGCAGGCTGTACCACATTTATACAATATACGCTAAAGAAGTATAAAGCATACATTTCAAATGCAAATAGGTGGTCCATTTAAAGAAAAATTGTTTCATACAGGCTGGACCGCATGACTACATATGTGGTCCAAAAAATGTAAAGCATCCATCTTAAAGATGGATGCAAGTAGGTATTCCATCTAAAAACAATAGAAACTAACGGTCCAAATATTTTCTTACTATAATTATTATTTATAGTTTAATTTTATTTTTTTTTATATTCATGATCTCCATATTAGAGATTATATGTGTTTAAGAATTAAGTAAAAAATCCATCTCTAAAATAGATTTATTAATAGTCCCGCATTTCTACATATGCGGACTTCGCTGTACAGAAACTAGACCCCATCCAAAAACAATTGTAACCAACCATCCAAATATTTTCTTAATATAATTATTATTTCTACTTTTCCACATTTATTTATTTTTTCATATTCATGATTATATATTCTCTAAAAATTAGGAGCAAATTACATTTAAAATATATATTTATTGCCAAGCCCACATTCGCACATGCGTGGACTTGACCGCATGCTAACCGCCTCCTTCAAATAAAAACAATACAATTATTCTTTTCCATAATTGTACATCCCATCCTACGTAAACGAAGTCCTCATAAAAAAAAATTAATGGAAAATAATTTGCTGTGTCATAGAGTTTTTTTTTTAGAAAAATTCAACAATATTATTAGAAA